GAGACTTCTCTACTTTTAGCGTTCGTCCCTCAAAACGACACTGTCCCTCTTCTCGGTGCGCCCTTGCTACCAGCGTGGTGGGTAAAGATCTCGATATATTTGCAGACGGAACGGTTTCTCTGAATCATATTTTACAAGCATGTACCAAACATTTTACGGTGTTACTTGATTAGTGTTTTCATTCACTACAAATGTGTATACCTCGGCTAACTTTAATTTTCTTATGTAATTGGTTTTAATTTATTGACTTGTTATTAATTGTATTAATTTTATGCTATCACTCCCAGGTGTCTTATCTTAGTAGTTAGTTACTAACAGTATTAGCAACATTCGTAATATTTCATAAATATATGTATATATTTCAGTCTTCTTTAGATTTATGTTCACAGATTTATTTTTCATATTTGTATTTTGTTTTAATTATTATCTGTACCTTATATACTCGTGCTAACTTTGTAATTGGCCACTGTGCTGTTAAGTTATTGCACGTAAATAAACATGAATTGAATTGAATTATTATTATTATTATTATTATTAGAGGGGGTGGGTTTCCCCATGCACTTAGACCAGTTATTGGTCCATTGTGCATCCCCCTTTAATTTCTATTGTCCACATACCCTACCGGTACTGGTGCCTGCTATCATCCCCGTTCAGCCAACAAGGTCGGCCGTCGGTACCTGATATTTCCCCCATCTACCAGAGGAGTTGGAAACTACTTGGGCAGGAAATTATTGCCTAATTTCGCTCAGAGGTCTCCTAGAGACATGAGGATCTTTTACGTGCCGTACATCTACAACATGGGACCCACAGCTTAAAGTCCCTCCCGGAGGACTTGTACCCTGGATTTTTCCGCCCTTAAAAATTCCACGACCTCTGCCAGGTTTGAACCTGAGTACCTTGAGTCATTAGGTGGGAACGTTACCCCTAGACTACGGAGGCCATCTGCGGCCTATACTATTCACAAAATGAAATAATAGAGCACATCAGTTTTGTTGTTATATCAGATTGTTTACAGCATGACAGTGCACTTGTACATCTGTTTCAAAGCAAATTAGGCAGCTTTCCTTCTGGAAAAAATTAAATATTTGAATAGAATTTCTATTTCTCTCCTGGTGCTGCCTCACACTATAAAAAATTGTTTCAACCTCTGTTATCACAATGATTTTGGTATGAACACACATCACACAGCAAAGATGCGTGTGATGGGATTGGGGGAACTCTCAAAGGCTGGCATGACTGGCAAGTATACAAAGTCCTTATGAGAAGCATATCACGATGCCATGAAAACTTTATGAGTGAGATGTAAAGATTTCCTCAATCATGTTTGAGTACTGAAGACCACAGCAAACAAACAATAATGCTTGAATAGAGGCTCAGGAAAGCTTGACCACTTCTGGGTATTAAAAAAATACACTGTATCATTCATGCATCAAAAACCCAGGTTCGGATAAGTGTTTTCAGAATAAAATGTCTTCAACACCATACACACGCCTATAGTACAGTTGCAAGATGAAAAGTATCAAATGAAAAACATCAGAGGATTTGTAACTTGCCATTGTGACAGAAAATGGTTGCTTGATTGTGTGTTACAAGTGAATGAGAATGAAATTCAACAAACATTTTGCATTCCTCTCATTCCGGTAAACCTTTCACGGCCAGACATTTTGTGAATTCCAGGTTCAGAAGTGCAACCAGAAATTGCAACGGGTCACACATACATCACCAGCGACATGAGATCCTGTTGCACCACTGAGAAACTAGAAAGCAAGTCTTTGCAGACAGTAAATAGCTGCCCTTAAAGGTAAAATTTCCTATTCAAATGGAAAAATTAGTTTTAATATTTTAATTAATAAGACTGTCAAGTTTCATTTTTGTTTTCTTATTAATGTTTTGTTACCTGTGTAGCTTACTGTAATATTTAATCCAGGTGACCAACAATACATACATAAGAGTTAAAATTTTGTGACGATTGTATAGTAATATAATTGACTTTCTGGACATTATCCATTATCCTTTTTTTGATTTAAAACAATATTTTAGATACTAGACTCTGCCTCTGTCCTCAGATGAAAAGCCTATTCAGTCGTGCCCAACTGATAGAGACGGTCCTGTCTCCAAGGACAGGGGCACAATACAGTCTCCAAATTGTTTATTAAACTGAAACAGGAGGATGTACAATGTCCAAAAGGTCAATAATTATAACAATACATATGTAACCTGTAGTTATAAACAAACATGTATCTCCTCAATCCATCAATGTTCCAACATGAAATTATTCAAATATGTACTTAGAGAACCACAAAATGTTTTTTGAAAGACAGTTATAAATCTGGCTATACATTCTTTTATAAATCAAGGGCAATGGTAAAGGTCAAAATGTTAATATGCCCTGAAATATGTGAGCAGTTACTCAGATGAAAGCCCAACTTAAGAGCTTTCAGTCAGTACAAGAGCAAGCTCTCTGCCTTAATTAGAACCAGAGCTATATTCATTTTAGTAAATCAAAGTGCCAGAAATGTGAAAGATAGCTGAAAATGCAATAACTCTAAAATTAGGTGACACAGGAAAGAAAGCCATCATATTTATCACCTACTCATTAGACTTATAAAATGTCATTGAAATTCCAGGTAGTCATGTCAACTGCTGCCTTCATATGATAGGGAATTACCCTACTGTTTGTCTTTCTTCATATGAGTTGCATGCTAGTTAGTTGTGGAATTAATTCCCACTTGAAATGGGCAACTAGGTATTGATCACAGCTACCTACACTACTCCATACACAAGAGCAAACAGACAGATAACCAGATCTTTACACCTGTTTCATTTACTTTCACTTTACATGTTTCAAGATATCAAGCTGACAAAGGCTTTTCCTCTATTATGATAATTAACATAATTTGAGCATATTTTAATTGTATAAATAAAGTTTATTAACAGACACTCTGAACTGACATTGGCTGAAGTGCTCCTGTGAGTATGTTTCTGATCAAGTTAGATTTACCTTTCTATTCTGAAATACAGAAATCTTGCTATTATTCTGTAAATTGACATCATTCAGAGATGTGAGTCGATGGAAACTGTCCCCTTTCTTAACTTCTTGACAGTGTCCCTACATTCAACAGCCACTAACCCTAGGTACATAATACTGCTGTACCAGGAGACAAATGACATACAGAGAGAGTTCATTAATTACTATTTCTTACTGATTAATTGAATGCTGAAAAATTGTGTACATTAAGTTAAATGCCTAATGATAAAAGAGTGATTGCCAGAACCTTATTCTGAGCAACTGGAAGACTTAGAAAATCTAAATTAAAAAACTGTCCCTGGGTACTACAATGTTACAAATTTATTAAGATCACGCATACATTTCAACACCACATTCATCATATAATAGAATCAGTTTACAAAATATAAATCACATAGCAGGGTCTGCAATCACACCTGGGAAGAAAATCTAAAGTCATAAGTGGAATGAATAAAAGCTGTTTCAAAAACATGGAACACCTATATTAAATCATAGCAATGAATAAGACTATGTTAAATGCCAGCTATTAAGAACACTGGCAAACAAGAAGTTAAAATGTCTTATGATGGTAAAAAACATAAAGAAGAAATGCAAGTACACAACTACACAGGTTACTTCTATGAGTAATCTAAAAGAGTACATTGCACTGTCTAACATGACCGATGGATGAAGAGCGAGTCCTCCAACTGAGTCAGTCAATGCATACTAGCATCATCAGTTTGAAATGAAATCAGGTACTCCTGCACAGTCTCAAAGCCAGCAACTGCCTCCCCATATGTTGGAACATGTTGGAACAGGTTGCCCCACACTGACCTTTGTCTTTAAGTACTGAAGCTTTCTGTAGCATTATGCTACTTATCAACAATGCAGCTAGCTTGAGACACTTCTCAATTCAATTCATGGCATAGATTCCTTTCCACCTCCTGAACAATTGCAACCGTCTTGCCTATTGTAAGCGTCTGTCTTTCCAATGTCATGGCCATTCATTATTTAAAAATCACTTCTACAAAATTACAATAATTGCACTCAGCATAACGATAACACACAGTAAGACTATGGCCACACTACCATAGAGTGAATGCACAGTATCCTACTTCTTATCAATGTAGGGAATGTACAAAGAATGGGCAGTAACAGCTGTGCTGCATGGCATCATGTGTAGATGATGATTTTCAACACTGCATGACTGGACACATGCAAAGTGGAAAACACACAAAAAAAAAATCCTTCAACACTAAACCAGAATGCAAAACGTGCAGCAATCAAAGTTCCACATGTAATATGAGGCTATGTCCTTAATTTGAGAATCACTAAATCAAGGAAAATAATACACTAGGTATATGGAGCTTCAGCTGGGATCACAAAAAAGTACCTTAAATACAGAAAAGCCTAAAATGGGGACCCTTAAATCAGGGGTTCATTGTATGTGAGTAGCTACACTGTAAAAACATTCAAAGTTCAATTTTCCTTTGGGTCTGGCAAGCATTGTTATATTACATATTCATATTAGACAAGATCCTTATGTAAATGAAACAAAAATTGTTTTGAATAAAAATGTAATTCTGTAACATGTGACAGAAAATACAGTTATCACATTGGTAGATATGTATTTCTACTTGCAAAGAATGATCACAGTAAAAGACGAAATAGGCAACTGCCTGAGATGTGAAATTTGAGGTTCTCACAGTGCTCACAATCACACATAATGGAATAATAACTTGTGAGATGTAGCATCATATAGGCTGATCAAAGAATATGGAGGCAGTACCTTCCTTTAAAAATCAGTAAACTTCTACCAGACTATGTGCCATTACATCTCAGCTGGGATATTTGTATACACTAAACAAACTTACACAGAACTACTTAATAACTATTTACCTCTCTTCCTGTTCTTTGACTAGCCTTTTTCTTTCTTCTTCCTTTCTCTCAGCTTCTTCCTTCTGACTCTGTGCCTTGTCTGCTTTCTCTTTATCTGCCTGTTTAAATTGCTCTAACTGATCCCTGAGCTGTTGCTTTTCTGCTTCCTGAAAACATAACAATAATAACATTTTGCTTATTATAACAAATACAGAGTTATGGAGTACATCAAATGTTTCAGAACTTTGCTGTAAACAAAACACTGAAAAGAAAAATTCTTAAAGTTTGAGAGCCTAGTATGTTGGTTTGGTTACATTTCACTTTTGCACTTTGTTGAAACATTTGTAAACTGTTAAAACACAAACTTAAGAATACGACTGTGTCCTTCCATATCCCTACCAACCCATCAATCTACACATGCGCACACACCACTACAGTCTATTTTTACTATGGCAGAATTTCCCCATATTTAATATTACTTATGTTAAACTCCTCATGATATGCAGTACTTGTAATAATTGACTTAAGCACTATTTATTACACATTCAGACCACCGCCAATATGCACCAAAAAGCGAACTATGGGATGTCTGGACAATCGTTTAGAATTTGGCACAAGCTTTCTGAGATGTATTTTAAATTATACTAGAATCTTAAATCAATTACTTAAGCAACATACTGTTCTATTACTTTATTTCTGCCAGTGGTAACAGTTTAGGAAATATTAATATAAGAGATTAGTATATCCTTTTTCAGTTCAGGGTAACACTTTCCCATATATAAGACTTAAATATCACATAAGGGTTTGCTACTATCATCACATGTAGGGGATGTGCGTGACTTATAGATGGATTTTGGGTTGGATTTACTGCACTTAAACACTCATCTCATAACAACAATTAATTGTAGGGTTATCGCTAATTTCCAAACTAAGCCTTCTCAGGGCCGCACCATAGCTCAAGTGGTTAGTTGGTGGCTTCCCACCGCGGTGGCCTGGGTTCGATCCCGGGTCTGGTCAAGTGGGATTTGTGGTGGACAAAGTGGTGCTGGGGCAGGTTTTCTCCAAGTACTTCGGTTTCCCCTGCCAATCTTCATTCCACCAATTGCTCCACAATCACCCTCACCTATCATCTGGGGCTGGTATAATAGGCCAGAAGTGGCCGCAGTATAAGGGACTTAGTCTCACCCCCCTGCCAATCTTCATTCCACCAATTGCTCCACAATCACCCTCACCTATCATCTGGGGCTGGTATAATAGGCCAGAAGTGGCCGCAGTATAAGGGACTTAGTCTCACCCCACTGCCAATCTTCATTCCACCAATTGCTCCACAATCACCCTCACCTATCATCTGGGGCTGGTATAATAGGCCAGAAGTGGCCGCAGTATAAGGGACTTAGTCTCACCCCACTGCCAATCTTCATTCCACCAATTGCTCCACAATCACCCTCACCTATCATCTGGGGCTGGTATAATAGGCCAGAAGTGGCCGCAGTATAAGGGACTTAGTCTCACCCCACTGCCAATCTTCATTCCACCAATTGCTCCACAATCACCCTCACCTATCATCTGGGGCTGGTATAATAGGCCAGAAGTGGCCGCAGTATAAGGGACTTAGTCTCACCCCACTGCCAATCTTCATTCCACCAATTGCTCCACAATCACCCTCACCTATCATCTGGGGCTGGTATAATAGGCCAGAAGTGGCCGCAGTATAAGGGACTTAGTCTCACCCCACTAGCAATAAAAAATAAAGCCTTCTCAGTTTGCTTTCACTAGTCTTTACTTGGTGACAGCTCTCAACAATGGCTATTCCTTTGCAATGTTTTTACTAGACGTTTCCTGATATTGAATCTTCTGGTCCAGCTGCCTGCTGGGTAATACTCCACAGCTGAACTCTCGACTGCACTGCACTCACTCGCTGAACTGAACTCGGTTGGTCAAGTCATATAACCTCGGAGCAGACCCACAGAGAATGTTCCCTGCAACACCTCATCTACTGTTGCATGATGTCACTACACATGTGTCTGCTGAGGGTGCTACACAGCAGAGGCCACTGTTTACACAGTCATCACTTAGCAACAGGTCTATACACCAAAGTATTATAAAACTGGAGAAATAAATTAAGCTGTTATAGAGAGGAAAAAGTTGTAGCTCATTTTTAATACAAATTTAACCAAGGCTCTAGTCAAGATAGTGACAATGGTGATTTAATGATTGTTACTGTGGCTGTTTACTATATTGCTAACAAGAATCTGTCCTCGATGCACAGTATTTTACGGTACAGACTCTACCACTAATTACTCAACATACCTTGCAAATTAAGATGAGCTGCCTCTTCCATTTCTCCTGTTTTAAGATAAATACTGTTTACCTGGTCCTGTTGCTTCTCTTCTAGTTTAGCAATGCTGAGTAGAAGCTCTTCCTCTCTATTCTGCAGCAGTCGTACACGTTCCTCTTCTGCTTCTTTCTCCTTGCTGATACGCAGTATCTCTCGCTCACGCTCTGCTTTTAGTTCAGATTCCTCTAACTTTTGTGCTCTCTTTTCTATCTCAGAAAGCAGCGGCTCACTTATCTCCCGACTCCGTTCCTCATATGTCTGCAAAGCTGCAGCCTTGGACCCCCGATCCACTCCTGGCTTCACAATGTCCTTTGTTCTGTCTGATGAAAAGCTGGTTACCCTTGACTGACCTTCACTTACACTGTCTGGTATTGCTACTTGTATAGTGTTTATATTATCCTCCAAAAGACTTCCTTTTCCACCAAATTGTGGCTTAGACGTACGGTCAATGGCTGGTTGAGGTGACTCCAAAAAATTGGGGTATTCCACACCACCTGTAAAGCCATATGTTCATTGTTTATTACAAAAATTCTGAAAATAAATCATATTGAAACACAATACCTTGCATAAAGGAATAGTACCACCAGTCTTATACCTTAGGGCGAAAAAAAATTAATGGTTTAATAGCTCATTTAACAGGTTTTAAATTTGTTAAAAATAGAGAAAGTATTAGACCCCTGAAGGATTACAGACATTCCCACTGATATCTGGCTTTACGCTAGAAGCAAGTGAGTCAATCCAGTGTAAATGGATCTACTGTTAAACAAGGTGATGGCCAACTTTATGAAGATACGGTTCTTAGTGTTCAATTAATAGAATCTGTACGGTCAGTCTCCAATATTTTATTTTGTTTCTTTATTATGTTGACATATTCTTGAGCCCACATACTTAACTATGTGCTACATTTAATGTGAAAACTATTGTTAATTTTCACCTCTGTGCGGCAATGAAGGGATATAAATAGGTCATAATGTTGTGTACAGGATGCTGTGTCAGATCAATTCGAAAAACAGCAAGAAAATCTCTACTAGGTTGTTATATGGCATAATTTCCCCATTTACAATTACCCATAACATTGCCTTCCTTATTGATAGCACACCACTGTCTTACACAAAAATTAAATAAAATACACTGTAAAAACCTTATTACCCAGAACAGATGGGGAACAGGGTGTTCTTCTTGTGGTCTTCTGGGTTGAAGCTATCTATTCTGGAAGGCGAATACCAACATTTCAGAGGAGTATACCACTTCTGTCTTCAGGGTAGATGAAAATGAATGCAGCATGCTCCTGGAAAAGTTGGTATCCACCTACCAGACTACACATGTCATAATCCAAAAGACTGCAATATGAATCTTCACTGTCACAAAACATATGTATTCCAATTTTTTTATTACTGTGGTCTTGGAAAATATTCCATAACCTACATTTTGCCAATACAGCCAGAAGAAAACCTTTCATTTAGAATAGAATAGGACAGAAGGAAACAGAAGGTGCAAGGAATACTGGAGGCTACAATGTACAGATCACCAAAATATTTTCAGTTATACAATCACAAGAAACAGTGAGTGCAATGAATGGTTCAAACTACAACGGTAGAAAGTCGTCTTCTGGGTTTAGGCACCGTGTATTCTTCGTTTTGGCCGACGTTTCGGAGGAACGTAGTGCCTCCATCTTCAGAGCAGTTGAATGGCTGCTGCCTACTTCGTATATAAGCAGCACATTTGACATCCTATCACCACAGCTACTGCTCTCCGCATTCCAAGCCATTCAACTGCTCTGAAGATGGAGGCGCTACGTTCCTCCGAAACGTCGGCCAAAACGAAGAATACACGGTGCCTAAACCCAGAAGATGACTTTCTTCATTGTCATCGCCGTGAAAACCTCAAAACTTACAACGGTAGATGTTTACATCTTATCTGAACAAGGATCACAAGCATTCTAAGCAGCAAGAGAACAAGAAAACATATTCCATTCACTGATGATCCTATAGACAATAATGTTGTTCTCCCATAAGTGTGTTCATTCATACTGGATTCCAAATAGCCTTAGTTCTGGTTATGGTTAACACAACAAACGTCTGAATTGCTACTACATGAAATAGGCCATTTAATGTAAAGTTCTGGGGTTTAGAGTATCAAATAATGCAACTTTTACTATAGACCATTTTACCTTACTATTCATACTGTCACTTCTATACTAATTGGATTATACTGTATGATACAGGTTTACCTTCAACTGAATCTTTTCTAGATTACCTAAGAGATCATTCACTTCTGTCAGACTATCATGAAATGGTACTTTCACGTGGGGATTTGTAGTGTGCATGGGGTATGTCAGTAACCAGTCTTCATATCCTCCATCCAGAATAAGTGGGGGAGACTTGTAGATGATACCAGGATCCCACTGAAAACAGACCATTTCTTAAAATTACTGGGTTTTTGGACTTTTTCCATTGTCTGGTATTCTAGACACTGGATGATGGGACAAGCCCAAAAACCCAGTTAATTCTGAGTGTTATACATGATCATCAGAACCCTTTAGATCATTTCTTCTAAGGTTAGTTCTGTTTGCAAAGCTTGCTCACTCCCAAAACACAGCAATCAGCACAAGCCCAGAGAGTAAGGCAAACATTGTAATCTCCATCTGGCTGGGATACATACTTGTAGTATGTCTACCTGCCTGAAAAGAGAAATTAAAGCACAATGTTCTAAATCACTCACTCACTTATGGAGCTGACCTTCTTGAGAAGCTGCCAAGTGTGCAGCAACTCAAGAACTTCCCAGCATTTTATGGAACCCGAAGGCTCATTACGGTGCTCACAAGAGCCCTCCACCGGTCCATATCTTGAGCCAGATCAATCCAATCCATTCCATCCCATCTCTCTAAGATCCATTTTAATATTGTCCAGCCACCTACATCTTGGTCTTCCCAGTGGTCTCCTTCCTTCCAGCTTTCCCACCACTATGCTATATGCATTCCTCATCTCCTCAATTCATGCTACATGCTCTGCCCATCTCATCCTTCTTGACTTGATCATTCTAATTATACTCAGAGAAGCGGCCTCCATAGTCTAGGGGTAACATTCCCACATCATGACTCAAGGTACGAGAGTTCAAACCCGGCAGAGGTCGTGGAATTTTTAAGGGCGGAAAAATTTAGGGAACAAGTCCTCTGGGAGGGACTTTAAGCCATGGGTCCCATGTCGTAGATTTACGGCACGTAAAAGATCCTCATGTCTCTAGGAGACCTCTGAGCAAAATTAGGTAAAAAGTTTCCCACCCAAGTAGTTTCCAATGCCTCCGGTAAATGGGGAAGTATCAGGTACCACTGCCAGTAGAGGGGCCGAACTCGCTGACTGAACGGGGCTGATAGCGAGCACCAGTACCTGAAGGGTATGGCGACTGGTAGAATATCAAAGGGGGACGTACAATAGATCAACAACTGGTCGCAGTGCATGGGGAAACCCACCCCCTCCAATAATGAATAATAATGAATTACACTTGGAGAAGTGTACAACTTATGCGGTCTTCTCCAACCTCCTGTCACTTCATCTCTCTTTGGTCCAAATATTCTCCTCAACACCATGTTCACTGCTCTAAATATTACTAATATTTAATTATGTGCAATATCTGGGTTGATGAGCATTTTAAAGAAGAGTTTTAGAGGATGTCAGATCTTATCAACCTGTTAAGCCATGAAGAAACATTCCTATTTTAACTCTTACAACATATGAACCAGGTACTAGCCTAAATCTGTCCACTGGCTGAATTTGAGTATCTTTTACCATTTTATATATGCCAGAAAAGAATTTTGAATAGAGACGAAATAAATGAGAACAGATTTGATGCAGGGCATGTTTCAACTATGTTCATGGAAATACTGGACATACAAATATTATCACATTATAAAATAGATCACAGGTTAACTACTAATCTGAAAAAAGAAAACAAATATTTTAGAAACTGAAAACAGTTACAGCACACAGATTTTATAGTTTTTGGTACAATTAGAACTTTAAAAGAAATAATGAATATTATGATGTATTTGTGTTTTGGAACAGTTACTGTATGATTATCAGCGGCCACTTCAGATCCTGATGTTGGCTTGCCTAGGCAACCACTATTTCACTTAACACCATTGAACTGCCTTTTTCTCCATCTTTCACTCAACTCCTTGCAAGTTGCTGCACTGTCAGCTACACTTCTACTTTCTCTTGCACTACCACACATACTGTGCACCTTGTCACTGCCAAACTTAACTGTCTCATAGTACACACTGTTTCTCCACACATAAATGCTGTATGCTGCTTCTGCCACACAATGAGACTCAACTCAACTGCATAACTCACCAACTTCACAACACTTATACCCAAGTGAAGTCATTCTGGAAACTTCTCACAGGTTCTTCACCAACTTGGTCTTCAGCAGCTTCAAGAACCATCTTGAATGGGGGAGCCTTGCCGTTTCTCAAAAGACCAGTGCATGAATATGCTCCTATCTCCCTTCACTCACATGATACTGCTCCCTCCTCAAGGCTGCCCATCATGAGCAGCCTCTAATTATAGCGCTGGTCTGCCCAGGTGGTGTGCTACTACAAGAGATCTTCAAAAAGTTTCCATACTTTTATATTTTTGAAGAAAATTGAAAGAGGGGGAGGGGTGGGGGTGAGAGGGTGGACACGGTAGAGAAACTTGGAAATTGCACCAAGGAGCAATGATCTGTGATACATTTCTTTGTGGGCAGAAAGTGTATCAGGCGGACAAATACATCAGCTCATGTGTGCTCAGTATGGGAACAATGCTCTCTCTTATAGTGTTGTGTATGAGTGGACTGAAATGTTAAATGGCCATATGAGTGTGACTGATGCAGAGCACTCAGGTTGTCCAACCACAGCCACAACCTAACAGAATAAAGAAAGAGCTAGGGAACTGATTCTTCAAAACAGAAGAGTGATGGTCAGCAAAACTGTGAAACACTTCAAGATCAGCTTTGAGTCTGTGTATTCTGTGGTGTATGATAACCTTCAGTTCCATTAAGTGTGCACCAGGTGGGTAACTAAGGAACTGATGGATGAGTATAGACACATGTGCTTAGAAATTTGTTCCTGTCACCTGGCTCATTTTCACAAAAAAAAGGTGATGACTGTCTGCAACAGATTGTTGCAGATGATGAAATCTAGATTCACCGCTATTAACCAGAAACCAAGTGGAAGAGCATGGAATGGAAGCATCCATCATTTCCTGTTGCAAAGAAATTCAAGATGCATCAATTGGCAGGCAAGTTGATGTTGACCATCTTCTGGGGTTCTCAAGGGCCTATCCATGAGACCTACCTGAAATGTGGAACAAATGTTACAAGTACAACGTATTGTAACATACTTCAGAGAGGGCTGAAGCCTGGAATCTGCTCTAAAATAAGAGGGAGACTGTCAGAGGACATTCTGTTGTTGCAAAACAATGCCCGTCCCCCTACTGCAGCCCGAACATTGGAAATGGTTAGAAAATTGAAGTGGGAAGTCATGGAACATTGAGCTCATAGTAGATATTTGGTGCCATCTGACTTTCACCTGCTTGGACTGCTTAAATAAGCTCTAGGAGGGAAAGGATTTCGATGTGACAAGGATGTAAAGAAGGTGGTGCATCAGTGGCTATATGTGCAACCAAAGACTTTCTATGATTATGATATTAAGAAGTCACAGGATGCTGGGAAAATATTGTTGCAAAGCAGGATGATTATATAGAAAAATTATTCATTTTGTTATTGTAATCATCATTAAAATAGGGCTGTAAAATAAGAAGTGTGGAATAATTTTTAAGATCCCTCATACCTTCTTTACCCACCCTGGGATGATGTTGAACCCTGTAGCCTGTATAAATGATCTGGGTGATCATGTTGCAAGAGCTTTCTAAAGGTGACTGAGGCTTTGGTGACTTTCCCCTGGTCCAGGCTGTACAACCAAACTTGGTCTCCTTCCTGGAATCCAGTGGAGTTGGCTAAGTGGTGGTCCTTCATCCTGTCATTGGCCTTGGTGATCCTCCAACATGGTGCCCTGCCATTATTCTCATTCATTAGACCCTGGTTGCAAGTTTCAAGATCTTGGCATGCTGTGAAGGTGTCACACTGTTGGCTCCACTTCCTGACATTGTCCCTTGTGTGTAGCCAGCATTGCCATTGCCTGACTTTGGCTATGGTTTTGTTGACATCCATTTGATCTCTTGAAGATTCTCCATGGAGCTCTTCCAGTAATTCCTTCATCTTGCTCCAGGTAGAATGATTTGGACTGTCTTGGACTGACCATCAGCTGAATCCCAGTGGCACTCCAGCATATTGTTTCCCACCACCAGGAAGCTCCACTGAGCCAAGTAACTCTTGTATATGGGACTGCTCTCAGTGATGTTCCAGTGACATTTTCAGCCATCCTGACAGGTGTTTCTAGTCTAAGTTGAGCCAGCACCCTGGCCCTATTCACTCCTTAGTGGGTCGCCTTTGAACTCCGTCATACTAGGCTGTTTGCCACCTCCAGGGGCCCACCAGCCATGGAGTCATGACCTTTATCCCCCAAGTTGATACTACCTCATTGCAGGCCATCATATGGAGATATACATAAATGTAGACATGATTCCACTTCTGTAAGGTCACTGTCACCATTTATATCTAAAATTTCTCTTGACAATCCCTCTCAACCACTCTTCTTCAATACTTTGCACCATGATGACAAAGAAAACACTAATTACTACAAAAAAATACATTATAAACAGCTGCAGCAACCAGAAAAATAATGTAAATTGAAAGGTTAATATAAGCCATATTTGCTAAACTGAAACAGTAATATTACGTCCAAACAGCATGAACATCATGAAACTTGAGCATCATAACATTCCTGGGACCACATCTTTGGCCAAATCCCTCATGCAGTCATATTGTGGAATAGAAAAAAATGCTTCTATTTTCAGTCTACAACTTACTGTCACTTGTCATATCTTATATTTCCAAGAAATTCTACCAAATTTAAATTCAGGTTCAGATAATGGGCTGTTCATTACACTATGTGAAACTCTGTAATCATTTTGTTACAGTAAGTTCTGAATTCAGAGTCTTTACAACCAATAAGGTGCAGAAACTGATTAATTTTAATTCACTGGCATAAAGTGGGCTACACTCCATAAACTTTGAGGGAAAAATTATGTTACATACCTATGAAATAGCATCTCTATACACCTACTAATTAACAAATTTTAGGGTACCTTACCTATTTCACAATTTAGAAATATTTTTAAATTCAAATTCAACAGGATTTTACATTAATTAAAACTAAAAGATTGTAATGTCATTAAACAGAAAGAAGCTTTAAGATTACTACAGAGTGAATTCTGAAGCTGGGGGAACATCAGAAATTTTACCAGATAAGATCTTCAAGAAGGGACAAAAGAAGGAAACAAACAGAAAAAAAGGGCGGGAAAAAGCCATAGAAATAAATATAGAAACACAAATGGTTCTCTGGAAATGTTAAATCTAGATACAGGTGTGTGCATGCATGCATGCATGTGTGGGTGTACATCATGTTTAATAAGTACATTGCAAAAAAAATGAAAAGTAAAAGAACTACACATAACAATCTTGTTCTTAATATCAAGGTGTGGCAAATGACCAATTTCAAGAACACACGAAAATAAATTTGAAAATGTAATTTAAGTAAGATTCTCAAAAGTGGAACTTACATCCTTGCACTTGTCACTAACCCTCTGACTTACTCATTATATTAATTATTTTATAATGACACTTTTATAATTTTAAAAACTATATAAGGTAATTAATCCATCATGGTTCGTAACAATTACATGTTGATTAATTCAATTATGATGTCAAGTAAAAATACTGAAAGGGCACTTGAGATGAACTGTTCTCACATCACGCAGTTAACTTGATAATGTTGAATTACACATTACAGAGAAGTTTTAGCCAGTATCAAAAAGAAAATCCATTAACTTACATCTAAACTTTTCTTACAGAGTTAGGTTTCCAAAATGTCATCCTGGTGTATGTACCTTGATCAAAATATTCTTAAGCGTGTATAGGTTGGTACCAGGCCGATGAGATTTTTCTGATGTGAACCAATCCAACAGCACAACCAAATCTGCATTTTTCCTTTCACCCCAAGACTGTCTTGATTCAGGATCAAGTGACTTCCCCAATGCTTCTGCACTTGTCCTGCATGAGTAAACAAGGGGTTAACAACTCTGACATAATTGCTGAATCAAAGATAAATTATGCAATTGTGATAATTATATGAGAGGATTAAATACATACACAAAGTACCTATTTAGTTTACATCAAAATTCTGTCATTCAAATTTGGCATATTCTATCTTTTATTTATTTAATAGTACTCAGATTTTACAATGTAATTAATCAAATACAATCTAGACAAAACAGATGAATATCAAATTGGTTTAAACATCTGGGAACAATGGTGGAAAGCTGATCTGGTAAAAGATTTTATAAGAACACTGAAAGGTAGAAGAAGAAGATGAGGTAGCCCAAACAGAATATGGGAGGACAAATTCTTATCTGAATTTCAGAGACAGCAAATTCTATTAAGATTAATCTTGGCAGTTGTTGTTGATGATGATGATGATGATGATGGCAATGACGACAACGACGACCATGACAATGATGGTTACTTTATAATAGACTTCTACATCAAATTTTAATACTTTTGTTCATTCTAATTTTGGAGTAAATTTGGTACAGACAGAAACAAAAACTTTTTCAAGTACTACTTACTCCACCAAATATACATGAGCCAAAACAACCATTCATTAACACCAACTGCTATGAATGTATGCACAGTGAAAAAGTTAGCAAAATGGAAACAGCATACAGTAAGTCAACAAAAAAAAAAGCTCCCCAGTTTCAAGTCACAATAACTTCTGAAATATGACACAAAAACAAAGTACTTCTTTTAATTTCTGGAGAAACTCTCAAACTTGGGGCACCGCAATCAGCTCCATAACATCAGCATCCTCCCCACCAAACAAACTCCATCCCAGTATTAACAGGGAGGTTGGCTTCTGCCTAAGCAAGTCATGGAAACTTCTTATCTTCTCCCTGATGATCACCGAAAGTCTCCCTCACAGGATTCTGCACATGGGTTACTCACCGGACCACATATGCCAGGGCACGCTGCCCTCATCAGGATACTGTCAAATTCCCTCTCTGAGCATCCATCAACCCTGAGCCTTTCTTTACTTTCCTGGCCTCCCTCCACTGTTCTTGCTCTTTTCATCCCCCACTACATGGCTAAAACCAACATATATAACTTATCTTCCTTCCCCCTTGGTTCTCTGCCCAACACATACATGACTTCTCTCCTCCATGTTCCCATGTCTGCACAAGTCGCCCATTTCAGGGCTCAATCTAGTTAATTTTCTTTTCCCTCCTATTGGTTCACTCTGCCTCTCAGAGTAAGCCAATGGGAATGGATGGGTTGGCTTACAAATTTCCTCCTATTCTATATAATCCTACATTTTTCCATCAGCGACTTGCTCTGCTTGTGGCCTGCTTCATGCTGGTTTCAGTCCTAGTTTTCAACTCTGAAAATGTAGGCACAAGTTCTTCTGAAATGGTGGTTGGCTATCACCAGATTTCCAGTGTTATATCTCAGAAGATATAACTCTTCATCCCCAAGACCAAATTTAGTTAAAATCTGTTTAGTGGTTATCAAGTTGTTATGTAAGTCAAACAGACAACTGGACACAGTGAAATCAACATGCAATAAAGTTTGCGAACTTGCCACTGTGTGCTTGCTGTGGCAGCAGTGGACAAAAACCTCAGTATGGTTTGATGACATTGGCATATCAGCATTTCACAGGGGTGTTGTTGTTGTTGACCTATGGTAGTCTCTTTCTGAGTGGCGTCTATTATTGTCTGAATGTGTTTTGGTGTGCCCTCATGAGAATGTCGGAGCTTGAATTAAAGAAAACGAACAAACGTTAAATTTCTTGTTAAACTTAGCAAGAGTGGAAGTGAAACTAGAGAGATGTTACTGCAAGTTTATTGGAATAATGCTATGAAGAAAACAGCAGTTCATAAGTGGGTGACACGTTTTCTAGGGGAAGAGAAAGTATCAGTGACAAAGAGAGATCAGGATGGCCGGCAACGAGCAGAACTTAATAAAATATTGCTAAAGTTCATCAAATTGTGCATGAAAATCGTCAGCTGACTGTCAGAAGCATAGCAGAGCAAGCGAACACTGACAGAGAAACAGTTACGATAATCTTAACTGAAGATCTTGAAAAGAAGGCGTGTGCAAAAATGGTCCCAAAGGACCTGCTTACACGGCACTGTCTGTGAGGGACTTTCTAGCTAGTAAAAAAATAACTGTGCTGAAACACCCTCTCTATTCACCGGATCTAGCCCAAATGGCGTTCTTCTGTTCAAAAGATAAAGGAAATAATGAAAGAAGTCATTTTGATAACACTGATGACATCAGGAGTAATACAACAGCAACTCTGAAGGCCATTTCACAAAACCAGTTCCAAAATTGTTTTGAAGGGTGGACTAGGTGCTCGCATTGGTGAATAGCTTCCCAATAGGAGTACTTTGAAGGCGACCACAGTGAAATTCAGCAATGAAGTATGTATCACTTTTATAGCAATGAGTTCGCGAACTTTATTGTCAAGCTTTATGTACGAGGGTTGGAACTTTAATAGTGGCAACTATTTATTTACAACTGATACAAAATAGATGCATGTTTTGGAGTTTTACTGTCCTTCCATGTAGTCACCAGCATTGTGCATAACCCGTTGCCAGCAATGTGGGAGTCATAGGATACCTTTAGCAGCGATGCTGTGTTGATAGTTCGAATGGAGCAGTCTACTGCCTGAAGAATCTCTGGAACAGTTCTGAAGCAAATGCCATGAAGTGGTTCCTTCTTCTGAGGAATTAAGTCGAAGTCACAAGGGCTTAAGTCTGGGAGTATCGTGGATGGTACAGCACTTCTCAGCCCCATCAATCAAACAAATCAGCCACAGCTCGCACTGCAAGTGGCCAAGCATTGTCCTGCAAAATGATGGGTGGGTTCTGCAGAAACTGTCACCACTTCTTTCTCAAAGCTGGTTGCAGGTTGTGTTCCAAAAATGAACAGTAATACTGTGCACTGACAGTCTGCTGTCAGGGAACGGTATGCGTTAGGATAACACCATCACAGTCATACACGAGAATCAGAATAACTTTCACACTGCTGGGGTTCTGACGAACTTTTGATTTTCGTGGTGATCCATAATGACGCCATTCGTTCGATTGGTGTTTCATTTGTGGCTAGTATGATTTGGCTCATGTCTCATCCAGCGTAATGATACGGCTAAGAAAGCCTCTCCTTCACGCTCATAGTGCTCCAGGTGGTTACAAGCAGCATCGTATTGTAGCCATTTCTATATTTCCGTCAAATCATGCGGAACCCATCGTGATGCAATTTTTCTCATGCCCAGACGTTCCTTCAGAATGTGAAACACAGTCGTATGTGCTAATCCTGTCTCTCGGGCCAGCTCAGGAATCATACGGCATCCATCACTCTCCAGTAATGTGGAAAGAGCACACACTTCTTCTTCACTGACACTAGGACAACCTGGCCAACGCATGTCTGCCACATTTTGGCGTCCCTTGTTGAAGCTTTTTACCCACCTTGCCACTGTTCTGTAAGGCAATGCAGATTCCCTGCAAGCTTGTTGAAGACCTTGACGACACTGTCATGTTGTATGGCCTCTGGCACATTCAATCCTTATCCAACCCCGTTGTTCCTGTTTCGAAAACATCGCGACAACACTACATTAGACCGCCAGCTAACACGAGGCTCTGTTCTTCTCGTCAATGCGCATCCGCATGCTGTGGGAAGGGAGAGTCCATTTGCTCTGAGGTAAGGTAGGTATGTAAATAATGTGTGGTATAAGCAACATTATTTGGTTCCATTGCATGGCGTCTCTACAGCAGTGTTGCCACTATTAAAGTTCCAACCCTTGTATATAAGTCAAGATGTCAAGAAACATGTATTTTTCTTGTGAACTCCAAAATGCCAGCATCATCAAGATGCATGTCCCTCTCTCAAAACTGGCAGGTCCTGTGACACTGGATGCTAACACAAATTTGTCGTTAGCAACTAGGGCTACCTCACCCTTAGATTGAACATTATCATAACTACTGGTCAACTAAGCCAAAATTATGTAATCTCTACCAACATTTATAGGCATGCGGTAGCATAGTTGGCTGAGGCACTATGCTACAAGCTGGAAGGTTGTGGGTTCGAGTCCTGATGAGGTGAATTTTTTCAATTGACCTAATTCTCCCAGCTGCACTACGGCTCTGGGGTCGACTTAGCCTCTAACAGAAACGAGTACCAGGAATCTTGCTCAGTAGTAAAGGGCGGCTGGTGTGTAAGGCTAACAATCTTACTGCCATCTGTGAGCTGGCTGTCTAGAGAAAATGTGGGATTCCTGATGTCTCACAACCCTATGGGCCTTCACGGCCTGTTACAGGGATAGCTTTTATGTTTCACCAACATTTATGTTACACGCGTTTGCCGTAAGCTTCTGGCCTGGATTCACTTTGGGTATGTCTCATTGATTTTCCTTACTGCTAATTAGCACCATCTGGTCATAACTTTTAGCACCAAACATACAGAGAAATTCAAGTTCATATGACATATTATAGCACATTTACCTAAGCAAAGCAATTTAATATTTCTATAAATTCAATCATTCTGACAATTCAAAACACATGCACTGTAGTACTAAAACAGAAACCAATCCAACCCAGTCATGTGAAATCAAACAGAAAGCTGATTAATTTGGCCTATAAATTTGTGTGGTTACATCTGAGTGCTGTAAACGATTATTTATGTAAAATGTTTCAATGATTTTTCAGTTCCAAAGTATAATACTTACCCTGGTATTACTATGTCTTTTGGAACATTTATGCACTTTCCAATAGCCATATGAGACTCAGCATAACAGGCAGCTCCCCGAGAATCAAGAATTAGGATGTTGGTTTTATTATCTTTCAAGAGAGAATGCAGTTGTCTGCTAGATATACTAACATCATTTGCACCTAATGAAAGATTGAACCAAGTTAAATACACATGTAACATAAACCTTAAGCTAGGGTAAACAAGAAGTTCTGTTTAAAAATAATCACATACTTTCCTTCAATACAATTTGAATATCTGATACAACAAGTAGACATAAACCTTAAGTGTGTACGCCTAATGAAGTCAATAAAACAATATAATATGAGAGGCTTCAGTGTTGGTATTATTGATGGGAGGGATTTGTGAAATATATTGTTCTGATGGCAACAGGAGGCATGATATACTACTCTGTCCAAAAAGTATCCGACCTTGGGCCAGGAAAAAAAAGTTCTGCATTTGGGTGGTTACAATACCTAATCGCCTTCAAAGTAGGCCCCTTGTGACTCCACACACTTAGCCCAGCGATCACTGGAAGCAATTCTGGAAGGCTTCTTTTGGAATGACATGCAGCTGCGCCGTCACATTCTGTATGATGTCCTCGCGAATGTCAAAATGGCAGCCTTTTAGCAGTGTCTTCAATCTCGGGAACAGCCAGAAATCATAAGGAGCCGTGTCAGGAGAGTAGGGAGCCTGGCGAACCTGCGATACGCCATGCTTGGCCAGGAAACCCTGGATCAGGTGCAATGAATGAGCTGGAGCGTTTTCATGATGCAGCTGCCAGTTGCGTACGTCCCACAGCTCCGGTCTCTTGCGCCTAGTCTGGCCTAGTGGTGCGTACTCATGATGCACAACACCACTTCGCTATCTGGCAGCCACAGATGCATCTAGCAGTGTTGCGAGTCAGCAAAAAATCATGCATGCGCATGAAATTCCCTTCTACCGCTACACTCAGTTTCCCCACCCCTTTGGCCATTACTTACAGCGGAAAGAAATAAAGTTGGATACTTTTTGGACATACAGTATATACCAAGATTCACAAATATTGGTCCAGGCATACAGAAATTGTTAGGGATGATACACATACAGACACACCAGATGGCAAGGTGATTTCATAAGTCTACTTTTATTTTACAAAATAAGGCCAGTAGGCTAAAAAGGAGAATGCTGAGAAAGTAACACACTATTAAACAGTAAACAGCTATGACTGACATGCATATATGCACAAAATACATGTGTACAAATGTGAGCAGAGAGAACAAAGTTTTGCACCTCCTGCTTTACCCCAAGAACTATCCAGTCTTTAACAACTTTTCAGTTATTGCCAAAATTATAGAGCATTTTCACAGTGTAAGAAAAACTGATTTGTATGCTTAGTGTACTGTGAAAGCATAAAGGAGGCATAGAAGCAAAGCTCTCACACATTTTAACTTCAATATATGATGGACATCAGTGACCTCCATGAAGTAGCCACTTTTAGCCATTAAAACAAAAAACTCCGTGGTCTGTAGTCCGCAAGTGAACTATTCCGACCGAGCAACCACTGCTTGTCAGCGAAGTCACTGCCAACTTTAGCGGATAGAGGGTGTCACGTGGTCAGCGCAATGGACCCCAATGGTCCGTTAATCTGTTTTCTGGACCACAGCTGCTATTTCCTTGAAGTAGCTCCTCAATTATCTTCACAAGGCTGAGTGGACCCCGTTCCAGACCAACTACTTATCAGGAAATCTGGTAGCGCCGGGGACCGAACCCGGGACCCCTAGATCCGTAGGCAGGAACTCTGACCACTAGACCACAGAGGAGGTCCCACTTTTAGCCATAGGAAACTAAACTCTGGTCCATTTGATATTTATCAAGTTGTCAATAGAACTATTCTGAGCATGGCAATGACCAGAATTCCTGCCAGGAACTGATCCCTGAACATTCATAGTCTTCACTGACTGAGCAATCACAGTCCAGAGGAAAACAAAGTATTTTGCTTTCATCACCTTCTCAGGACTTCTGCTCTTACTTTTTCTTGCCAAACTGTATATGATATTAGGCATGAAAGAGAAACATTAAATCATTTATATGTGAAATTGGCATCTTTAGGACTTCACCTCTAGTATCTAATTTTACGTAACACTATGCGTGACAACTAATTTGGTATATGCATGAAATATGAACTCAGTACACCATACAACAGTGCAAGTTATCATTGGACTGAATGGGAATAAACATGTGAAAGGTACACACAGGTGACCAAATTTGGGTATGCACCAATAAAAAACAGCTACACTAGACAGCTGGTAAGCACTGAAATTTTACAAGTATGGCCACGCCATAGCTCAAGACGTTAGTCGCTGGTTTTAGCCCGAGACTGGTCAAGCGGGATTTGTGGTGACACTGGGACAGGTTTTCTCCGAATACTTTGGTTTCCCCTGTCAATCTTCATTCCACCAAATTCTACATCATCATAATCATCCGGGGCAGGTACAATAGGCCAATCAGTGGCCAACGTGCCGAGTGGACCCAATTCGACTCCACCCCCCCCCCCTACGCGAATTAAAAAAAAATTTAACATATCTCCAAATGTCTGTAAGTAACTTTTCATTCCATAATCTTCAGTTTCCACTCCTTTTACAGGTGAGTGTGACAAATCTCACACATTTACATGCATGAAAATCCTGAGATTTCCTTTAATTGGATTTCCTCACCAAATGAAGCAGAGTAATTTGCTGGAAGCTGATGGCAGCCCAAGTGGTCAAAAAACTTCTGCCTTTTATCGAAGCTTAATGTTAGTTACCAGTTACCAGTTACCAGTTCCTAACCTGCACCACTTCAGTAAACTACAGTTTCCAGGACAGAGTACCACGTTTTCTGACAGACACAAAATTCAGTACAATATTCTATGATGCCACAAACTTTACATCACCTGGTAATCCATTGGCTGGGCTGGGGTCTTCAGTTGGCTTTTCCAGTTTCACTTGCTTCCTCTTCAATTCTTCCATTGCCTCTCTCTCTTCTTGAACTCGCTGTTCAGCTTCAAATTTCTGTTGCTCGTTCATTAATTCATATCTAAATGAGGCCCAAATTTATCAAAATTAAGAAATATGCTACTTTCATGGCACTGACAGACATGTAACTAGTACATAGTACAAAAGACACTATCATTAATTTATGGAAAAGGCTCCATGGCTCCTACTTTGGACAATGCTGATACAGAAAAACAATATGAGATGAAAAGCTAAAAATAGATTCAAGATATGTTCACCTCGAGGTTAATGAATTGTAACAATAAAACTACATTGAAAAGAGAACTTTTCTCAGCCTCTTTCATGGCAGTCAAGAGAATGATGGGTGGCGTGAAAGTCTACAACACCAAAAGTGGGCATGTGCACTGCAACAGTAGCAAATCCTACAGTTCTTGTACATTATCTTGCTACCAATGGAATTTTCTTTTTTAGATTTTTAGAAATAAATTTAATTCTTACACAAGAATATACAACAAAAGCTATATATACATATATATATATATAAACAAAGTAACGTAAAAATTCCAAAACCAAAATTTTGATGTATCTTCCAAATTGCTTCAAATGAACCATGATCAATAAGTCTATTTGCATGTGAAGACTGCAATGTCATTGAACTCCTCTACAATTCAAAGACAATTTGTTGTCACTGTCACAAAGCTGTGTCATTTGGATGATAATGTGTTGCTCAAAAACTGGAATGGAACTTTCACCACTGACAATTTTTCAGAAGAGTTGTTTTAGATTCATAACTGGAAAAACATAAAAGGTTGAGAATTCATGCTTTACACACCCTTACATAGGAAGATTCAAGAAGGAAATTTATTTTGAATTTAAAAATTATGAAAATTAAGACAATTTATTTTAGTTGGGGAGGGGGAAAAACACAAGAACCAATGCTATGAATGAACCAATTACAACACAATGCTGTAACAATTCCACTGACTGTCAATGTTCTCTCAGAATCCATTCAGAAATCAAAATGGAAATGTTATAAATGCTTGTACACAGTTACTGCAATTAAATACATAAGGCTCCTGGCTCGTGTTTGAAAGCTTCATGTAACCGTGTGAAAATCATATTAAATGTGATCTAGTTCGTGCAAAATTGACTTAATAACCTATAATTGTCTTGCAGAACAAAGCTTTCCCATAAATTATACGTAAATTCCGGACATTAAAGGATATGAACATAAATTATCACTAATTATGTAACATTCACCTTTGTTCCAAACTGCCTGCAAGTATTTCTGCCATATCTAGTGCACTTTTTATGTTCTTCGCACCAAGCAACTGATTGAAATGGTCCCTTTCCTTCTTATACTCTTCTAGCTTCTGAACCATGGTCACTATTGTAAGGTATTTCATGTAGCAAACATAACTCATCTCCTCATCCCCAGAATCCTTATGTTGTTCTGCTTGACCAAACAACTTGTCGGCTGTGGTACAGAGCCTGTAAAACGAAGAGTTAAAAATATTTCACATTGGTGACTACGGTATACTGTTTCTATTTACATTGCAAAAACACATAATCGTCAAAACATCAAATTTACTTACGTTTTTGCTTTTTTTCCTTTAATAACGTCTTCAATATTGAAAATTTTCTTCAAATCTGCAATTGATTTGCCCACGTATAAAGTTTTTAATTTTGTTTCTGGCATATTGAATTTATGTTCTAACCACAATTTACTAACGATCCCTTCAGTTCTTAACTGTCACTTGTTCTAAATCCAACACTTAACACTTACAACATAACACGTATATCACTGCACATGTAAGGTCATTTCTGAAACTACACACAATATAGTATTAATTAATAGTTAACTGCCCATATTATATTGCTGAAATGCTCGCAAGCACTCAAAGCACTGCATACTGTACGTCAGCTGTTACAATTTTGTTTGACAGCGGTTCCATTCGGACCGATTAGGACACTCCGTTGTCGTCAACAATTACAACACATCACGGATCGGTTGGCACTATGACGGGATGCAAACTGTGCTCCCACCTATGCACAAAGACGGTAAAAGTCCTATTCCGAAAGCTCAATCGATAATTTCACAATTCCTCCCTCACATTTAAAATATTTACGCGAATTTCACTAAAATCGTAAATGAAATGGCGGTATTTATGAGGCAGGGTAAAGCTATCCCACTAACACGTCATGGAGGTTTGTGAGACGTCGAGGCTCCCAGATAGTGATAATTTTGTCAGCCTTGTGCATTGGCTGCCCTTTACCCCCACGAAGATTCTTCCTACTAATTTCTGTTAGGGGCTTGGTCAACCACAGGGGTATAGTGAAGCTGGAAGGATTTGGTCATTTAAAAAATCCCATAACACAACAAACTACACTACTACGTCCCATCACAGTATTCATAAATCAAAATTCAATCAATCAACACATTTATCTCATTTGGAACAACATGCGAGAATGGGGGGTGAACAACAACAGAATTACAAAACTGTCCAAAAACGCAGCAAGAGAATTTATTAAGACCACTGAATACATAAAACTACGATTTCAATTCCAATAATTACTGAGGAGTAACACATCTTTAGTACCTATTACAAAACTCATGAGAGGATTTTAATTAATAACACACAAATAAATTATAGAAGCAACTCTCAGTGAGGGCTAGGGCACCTCAATCCTGTGCCAATGTCAAGAATGGCAGAGCCATACCTGCACTCTCCCATGTCTTCGTGGCTCAGTGCTTGATTAAGTAAGCACAGGCACAACTTTACCTTACCTTTTACACTCGCTGAGGAGCAACATGCATTTCTTTGGGAAATGTCCAGGAGGGGTTAACGAACTAGAGTAGTTACTTGGGGACTGGGATTTCATCAATGACAAGATAACTGTATTTATAGATTTTCAAAAAGCATGTCACAATATAAAGAGCATATACATATACAGCACCTAGCTAATGAAGATTAAGAGAACCAGAATATATTACAGAAAATGTGAAGCTAACATACAATGGTTGTATTAATTTTGTCAAAACAAATTATGAGCAGGATTCAGAAAAGTAATGGAAACAAGAAAACTTCCTCTCATCATTCCTGTTCAATAACATGATGCATGAAACTGCTAATAAAGTTAGATTGAATAGAACAGCAGACATGAACATAAAATGTGCACACAGCGTGCTAAAGTGAGGGAAGGACACAAAGAAAAGCAAATATATATAAAATCAATAGAACATGTTATAAAAGAAAAGAAAATGAAAATGAATATGAACAATACAGTGACTATGAGAATTTTAAGGAAGCTACATAAAAATCAGAAAGAAAGTTACTAAAACGACAGTTAAAAAGGGGACAAATCTGTTTATTCAAGAATGAAGACAGTTCTGAAGGTGAAATTAACAGACAAATCAATATGAAACTATAAAATAGTTCTAAATTCTGTCAAATAATAAGAGCATTATAGCACAAGGTAATTAAAAATCAATATAAAACAATTTATAAAGCACATTTTAAACTGATTTTAACATGTAACACTGAAATATGGGCTCTTGTGAAGAGAAATCAAAGCAAAATCCAAGCAATATATGGAGTTTCCAAGAAGTAGTGAGAGAAAACTAAGAAGGGATAGAATTAATGTTATATTGCAGCATTCTATTGCACTGCATAGATCTGACTCCGCATTTTCTTTTTATGCCTGCTATGTGCAACTTTGGTTACTATTCACTTGTAGTTTTTCTTCATTGACACTACATGTTTCAGCCTAACTGACCATCTTTAGGTGTATACAACACACAAGAAAACTCCCGCCCCAGCAAGAACACTCAAGACAGCCACAGCCAACAAACCAAACAGAACCATAAGACAAACATGTGCAGCTCATGGACACCAAAATTAAAACACATGGTTAACCCATATAGCCAGACAACCACATAAGAGAAACAAAGCAGCTTTGCAGTGAGCAGCAGATTCCTGAAGATGGCTGGTTAGGCCGAAACATGTAGTGTCAATGAAGAAAAAATAAAAGTGAATAGTAACCAAAGTTGCACATAGATGGCATAAAAGCAAATACACAATCAGATAGAATTGAAATAGAATTCTGGAGTTGGTTGGAAAGAAGCTATTATTAAAAATATAATAACAGATAAAAGAAGGAATGATTAGAATGGTTTGGCCATTTATAAAGAATGATTAGAATAAGGATACCTATGACAGCATTACAATTAAATTTTTAAGGAAAGAGACCTCTGACACAACCCAGAATAAGATGGTTCAGCTATGTACCGGAGGACATCAAGAACAGTGGAAAAAGCTGGCAAGAAACTGAAATGGAAAAGCTGTGAGAAAATAAGGAGATTGGATGACATATACTTCAACAAATGTTTCAAATTGATGTGTATTTGTTTCTGTGACTCTAAGAGCTTTATTTTGGTTATTATGAAGCCAATATGGCAATAAACTGAAAGATGTTGGTATATACACACATATAGTTCTTGTGTTATTTCATAATGCCACCAGAATTTAAACTATACAGCGCTGAGTGATAGACTAATTAATGGATTGAAAAATATTTGGAAAGAAGTCATGGCCTAATCACCCTGCCATTTGTCTTGATGGACTGAGGAAAGCCATAAATACTTCAATGAGTTGTCCTGGATTAGCTTCAAACCAAGTACCCTCCCAGTCAAGCCTAGAGCATTATAACTGGGTCACCTTGCTTGATAAATTGTTCTCTTAGTTTATCTGATGGTACAATGCAATACAGTCTAATATTGAGAGAGTGAAGACTATTCTTCCATGATCCATGTAAAACTGGAAATGATGCTGGAAGAAAACAAAATTCATAAATTGATAGAATACAATTATGATGCTTACAGCAACTTACAGTAACCTTTGGGTTTCAAGCATATCTCTACCATAACCTCAGAAATGACACTTGTTGACACTTGGAATTACAATATTGTGAACTCAAATGAAGAGAATGCTTTAGTTTTAAACACAATTTCCCAAGTCTTGTAACTAAATCACACTTTTACAGGCAGGCTCACAAGATTTTTTTGGGAGGCCTTTCTTATGTCTGATTCTATTCATCCTTCTCTTGGCCGTTGCTGATACCTAAAGTGTTTGTGTGCCCTATCAGCAATGACTCATGGCAAAAGCCATGAAGTAATCATTTCACCTTGAAGATGGAGACAGTTTTCACCTCCAAATTTCTGCATGATGACCGTTTTTTATCTGTTGAGTGGAGTAACACTAAGATGGTGACCTGAGTTTAATGTACTTCACTGCAGAGATCAGACTGTAGTAATATATTATTATACATTATAATAAATACAGGGATGCTGGGGAAATAAAGGGGTGGGAGATATAGCTCTGTCACTCTTGACCTCAGCACTAGATGGAGGTGACGGGTCAATTTTACAACCTGACTGCCTTATCCCCTGGGAAATTGCTCCCAGTACCTGTTGGATAGGAGGGTGAGTGGGCCTGAGCCAGTCTGAATGCTGTGGGTAAAAGTCTTAACCACTGCGAGGATTCAAATCCTGACAATCCAGCCCACAGCTAGACTGAGCTATTCTGATTACCACATGGATGCCACTGGTAAAAAAAAATCTCATGTACTTAATGAAGTGTTTCCCTACTTAATTTTATTATTTGAATTGAATTGAATTATGGAGTCCTTAACCCTTCCTGGTTCTGTTCCTCTCATGAGGGAACACATGCCATGAAGAGAACTACTTATAAAAATTTAAATATAGTCTTACAGTACTGAAAAATCAAAGTAGGATATGTCAGAATTTTTACAATTGGTATCTCAGATAAGTGAATTAATTATAGAAATTAAGTTTAATATTCTTACACATTTCTTATAAAAGTTTCAAAATAAGGAAACAGGTAAAAAAAGAGCACTTTAAAGGCACATATTACCTTTTTGATGATAAGTCTTTCTGCTTCTTCCCTTCTAAAATCATTTAATACTAAGAGTGATGCTGGAGTATCTATCAGACATGGCATTCTGTTTTTCTGGATTTTGGTGCAGTAAAACATGAAAATCCAGTTTCCTATGTGTATGTTGCTGTGAATAGGCTCTTTATCTGGTTACCCTTGAACTAGGCTGCCCCAAAATTAACGAGCACAATTATGTTTTTTGGACATTATCCATCGTCTTGCCTATTTTTTTTAAACCGGTTTCTTTTTTAAAACACAACGTTTTGGAGACTGGATTCTGTCCCCGTCCTAGGGTAAACTTACTCAGTTGGGTCCACTAGACAAGACAATGGATAATGTCCAAAAATATAAAACTTGTAGCAATGTACCATTGTCACAAACTTTTAGATCTTATGAGCACAGAGTTCCTTCAAACTTTCAGTTGGGAATCAGAAGTCATTGCAATTACAAACTCCACAGTTTTAGTCTGCAAGAGAATTGTACTGACCTAGCAACAGCCGCTTGTCAGCGAAGTTAGTGTGAATTTTAGCAGATAGAGGGTGTTGCGTAGTCAGCGCAATGAATCTGCACAGCCATTAATTACGGTTTTCTAGATCAGAGCCACTGTTTACTTGAAATAGCTCCTCAATTATCCTCACAAGGCTGAGTGGACCCTGTTTCAGACCAACTACTTCTCAGAAAATCTGGCAGTGCCAGGAATCGAACCCAGACCTCTGGATTTGTAGCCAGGAACTCTGACCACTAGACCACAGAGGTGGTCAGTCATTTTAATTAGGCCCTCTTAACGCTGCACTGAGAAGACTGGTTCGGCTGCTATTAAAAATTTAATTCATAAGACCTGCTATGATTTGTAGATGGAACATATTCATAGAGATTGTAGCACAATTCACGTTTAGGTTTTGTGCAATCAAAGATATTTGCTTCTATGACAAGTTCCACAACTGTTTTCATAATGGAAAAATCTCTTACATTAAAATGCTTAAACCTACCTTTGGAGTGACAAATTCCCTTCACTCATTTCTCCAAACATATCAGTTGCCTCAAGGAACCTGTTTGTCAGAATTTGTGGTCCACCAGTAATACTAGAGAAATGTGACATTTTACTTGTTTCACCCAAGTTTGAATACTGTATGATGCTTTTGTCCTTTAAAACTTCTTCCATTAGCCACAGATCCACTGAGATTTAAATTCTAGTATTATGTATGCCAAATTTCCACATACAATTACCTGTAGTTTCTCAAATGTTCTTAGCAAAATACTCTACCTTCCCATGCCAACTATGACCAAATGTAGATAGACAACTGAACACTGATGATCAATTGCTGGAAGGAATGTGGTATCTGAAGAAAAAAATAATTCAAGTAAATTCAAGTAGAATTTGAACTGTTTTGCTTGAAATGTACTGTACATTCCAATTACACAACCTAAGCTAGCTTATTCCAGTTACTATTTTTTTACAAAATATTATTTCAATATTACAGAGGGGTGACTGTATGATACTGCTGTCCCTAAACTTTCTTTGCATAACTCCTTGTCTTACTGCATAGAATCCTAGGGTTCCATGCAACAGTGCTGGAAACACTGACCTAACAGTAAGAAGATGAACAAACAGAACCCACACACAAAGAGGGCAGAAAATTCATATTGGTAATAGTCAACTGCACTCAAGATTCATTTGGAAATGACACTTTTTGAAGGGGTTGTTCAGGCCACTACAGCATGGGAATGTCTCCCCACAAAGTGAGATTTTTCTTCTGTTGCACACATCTATGAATGTTCCTCCGCAAGGCCATTTCCAATTTTCTAAGTTTTACAATTCCCCTCACAAAAGTCAACCATTCTCATGAGATTTTCAATAGTTTTTAATAAAGATTTCTTGTAATTGACCACACATCCTTATCACAACAGTTTCTTTATATATTCTCTAGCAGATGCATTCTGGCTTGTCAGTCACCTTCAGTGCCTCTTAGAGAAGTGCAGATGGTCAATTATAAGAAATAATCTTGCTAACACAGACAACAGGCATGAATTCAATCAAGGTTTCTTACAGCTTTAGACAAATGCCAGTTGGACATTTGGTACCTTCCACATAATAAATGACTTTGCAGATCAAATATCATATTTTTGAAATTAAATTCCAGCAAACTTCTTTGGAAAGCATAACCCTTGGCTGTTGCTTATAATAAACTCTGCTGGCTCCTTACTCAATTTTGCCTACAACAGGCATTTTCTTTGATTTCATCATCATCATCATCAGTAATCTGTCAAGACGACAGGTCCACAGTCTCTTTCAAAACAATTCCTCCAATTAATGCAATCTAGAGCTTTCTCCTTCAAATGACAGTATCCTCTTCTGTCCCCAAGGTCATCCAGCATCTTCTTACGTCTTCTTGTCACTTCTATCCGCCCATCTATCTTTCCTTCGATAGCTTCTTTTAGAAGGCAGTTTCTGCGTAAAACATGACCAATCCAATTAGCCTTCCGTTTTCTTATTTCATGTAGGATATTCCTCTGCTCACTGACTCTAATTAACACTTCTTCATTTCTCACATAATCGGTCCAACTGATCTTCTCCATTCTTCTCCAACACCACATTTCGAAACTTTCCAGATGTTTCTGATCTACTGCCCTAAGTGTCCATGTTTCAGCCCCATACAGAGCTATGCTCCAAATGTAGCATTTCA